AGCTGTTAGTGCGAACTCTAGAGGATAGTCTGGATAGTTACTTTGAGGGGTATGGTGGTGGGGGGGGTTGATCGTGGTGTGTCTTGGTTTCAGGTACGAGTCGCGTATTGGAAACCTTGGAAGTGTGGGATGGGGCATTCATGCGTTGTAGTTAAGAGAAGAAAGGGTCTACCAAGACCGTTATCTGTGGATATTTCGAGAAGCCGTTGAGATGTATGGGTTCTTTGCATTCGACGTGTATCCATTTCCCTCCTTCGCTCCACTACGATAAAGTTCCAACGTACGATCTCTGGTCTGTTGAATTCCCACCAATGGGTACTTCGCAACTGGGTCGGTCGATTTACAAACTGATTTCCCCTAGAGCGGTCGCTTGGTTTGTCAACACCAGATGCCAGCTGGGATCTAGAAGACCCCCCCTTCTAGTGTCCGTCGATCAACGATGAACAGCCATGACTCGAATCTAGGCCGTGTCTATTGTCTCTCTCTCTTGCCCTGCTGCCAATCAACCCCCAGTCACCTGGTTGCTATCCGCAATCGGTTAACTTCCCGCGGCTACATATCTGCAGGTCTATCTGCACAGCCTTGCACAGATTGAGGTCCATGCCCGTACCATGTCCATGGACTCTTGAATCGAACATTCGGTGCGCTAGTGGATTTATTTTTGCATTGACGATGTGATATATCATGGGTCGAGTGATAGTTACGAGGGGCCGGTAGCCTATCCCAAGTCGTGGCTGAGCGTGGGCAGGGGAGTTGGATGTTTTGCTCGGCTGCCGTGCGGAATAGCATTGCGCCGGTGGCCCGTCTTGAGGCCGTACCGCCGTGGCTGGAATTGAGGGACCATGTGGAGAAGCTGTTTCTGGATGTTTGGTCAGCAGTAGGCGGTGTGGCGTGCTTGTTTGTTGAATTGCAGTGAGCGAATGATGTTTTTGGCGGTTAAGGCGCCGCAAGCAAAGACGATTGTTTCCCGAGGAAGAACGTCTGAACGGTTCGTGTCAGTAGATCATAGCGGTTGTGGAATAACCGAGCCGTCTGAACAAACTCGCGTCGAGACATGATCTTCGGCACTACACATTGTATATCCGCGGCTTCTAAATTCGCATTGCCGTCTTCAACTTATTGCCCTTATCACCAACGAACTTGAAAACATGTCGTATATGACGCGGTGTCGTTGCGCTCAGACCTACAGGATCCACATGCGATAAGAACACGAAGACTGTGCTGTGCTGGACATGGAGAAAATGGAGAAAGGCCGAGCTTGTGAATATCTACGCGAGGGGCCTGAGCTCAGAGAGAAAAAAATCATCAAGCGCCTCGGTGTCCGTGCAAGATACGCACAGAGGAGTTCAGAGGATCCTTTCGGCATCCTGATGCACGGTTGCAGTGGAGAGTGCATAGGCTATGCGGTCCGGCAGTCTTGAATCTCGATGACAGGTGCTATGATGTAGGAGGCTGACAGAATGTGGTTGTACAGGACGATGATGAAGAATACCAAGACGATCATCATAAGGAATTCGAAGACAATTAAGAGCAGGAATCGTTGCGATGTACTGACAATCGTGGTTTTCGTGCTCTGGAAAGACGGCATTACACCTTGAGACAGGTCTGTGCTCGTTGGCGTATCTACCATGACGTTATGGCCGTTGGACGACGGTAGAGGTTCACGATGGTCATTTTGCCCAGGAGCCGGTACGCAGCTATCGCCATTAGGGTCTGTGAGGCTTCATTCTCCGAGTGACGTGCGTGTCCGTGGGGTTGGGCGGGCGTCAGACCCGATGAACAATCATGGTGAAGGCGAGATGGGCGTGACAGTCGGAAGCTCCGGCTTTCACGACGCGCAACAGCACATGTTTTGTTCTTGTAGCTTTTTGGACTCTGCTTTACAGACATGTTTCAAGATGAACGTTATTACCAAGAAACTACTGCACCACCGATGTAACCAGAATACAGAACGCGTACGTGTTGCTCAAGCCGGCAGCGAAACGGAAGTCGCGGCTTAAGGAACCACGTCAAGAGCCTCTATCGCGCCTTCACGATATCTGCTTTTTCCCTCAGCCACAACGTCACCATTCCAAACATCTCAGACCAATCACTCTGCTCCGGCTCTCCATGGCTAACTCAGCAATCGCACGCGACGCACACACATCCACTACACATCTCACCAGCCGTTTCGGCCCTTTGGTGATCGAGTGCAGTGGCCCGCCCCGCGATCACCACCATCGTGCGCCTCACGTCCGCTACCCTTCGCACGCAGCCCAACGCAAGGCCATCCGCACCCCATCACGGAGCCTCCAGCACCGTATCCAGTGGAGACAAGCAGCAGACAAAGCGCTTCTCTCCACAAACTACCGGCTATGCTACTCCGCAAAAACTAGTTGTGGTTGTTACGTACAAAGATTGTTTCCCCAGATTTATCACATGCAAGACATAACCGTCGAGCGTCTGTCAGACAAATTCAAGCTCTAAGCCGCGCGCCCAGCGCAACCGTCTTTGTAGATAATAGCCGATGGCCGCATTAGGCATTACGCCCGGCATGAGTAAGGGGGGAACTTGCAACTTGTAGTGCAAGTGCAAGCGCCCGAGAGGCGTTCTTTTCGTGGAGGTGTGACGAGACGAGCGGTTCCTGCGTATCCGACATAGTCACCACACCAAACCAACGCAACGCGTCTGGCGTCGTGCTTGCGCGTCATCTCGTCTTGGTAGTTCTCTTAAACCCGTGCGCTGGTTGCTGCGATACTTGGGGTGCTAACAATAGGCATGGCCGTTGCGACAATAGCGACAGGCTGTCGGTAATTCCGAACGAGATTTGTTAAGGTTACCTATATCCCAGGGAAGGGAACTGATAAACCACGTTAACAGAGACCGACTATCCCCGAAATGCGACGGCGGAGTGAAGATCTCGAGTCACGTTCTGCTGCGCAATTGGATCCCATAGCGTCGGGAAACTTGTTACTTCGAAATCCGCGAGTAGTTCCTAGCGCTGCTGATGATGGGGCTGGCTTTCATGCTACAGTGCCCTTTTCTTCGTCTTGGCTTGTTCGGCTCAGCTTACTTGCTGCCTCTTCACCATCGCACTATAATAGTCAAGTACCTGTCCGAGGAGCGAAAAGATGGAGATGCACGCACGGAGATTGGAGGGGGTAGCGCAGGTAATGCGACACCAAAGAGCTGCTGGGGAATATCGAGGGGTAACGTTAGTACGGAGAGAGGGGCAGTTAGTGAGAAGCGTGGGGTAATGGGAAAGCGGTTGAATGCGTAGTATTGAAATGCCCCGTTACGGGCTGCGCATGAATTACATGTCCGAAAGTATACAGTTTCGAGGCGTCCAACAACGGGCTTCTCTCCGCCTTCGTGTCGTTGTACTTCCCCTCTCGGATAGCAACTGCGGCTTTCTGAAATTGGACTATACTCTGGTCCCTGCAATGAGAGAAGCAATGCGCCGACGTCGTTTCTGTGTTGCGATGCACGGGGATGACGTGTGTAACTTGAAGGCGCGTGAATAGACTTGTCTGCTGGTATGATGTGGTTTGAACAAAGGAAATAATATGGTGTATGTACGTACATGAGCTGAGCCAGAATCCCACGCTGTACCTGGCAGAAAATCACTGCAGATCGCCGTTCGGATGTCCATCGCAGCACAGTAGACAGGGCAAGCTGAGCCGGAGCGAGCGAGCCTACCATCCACACGCGGGTACGTACGTACCATCACCAGCTCGCGCATCGGCATCGCCATGCTACATGTCATTCCGCCTCTCTAAAAGCCATGATTCTTTCTTCTCCATCCAAAGAGGCCAGTCGTAATGTTTCGTTGCCGTCAACCCGGCATCTCCGAAACCTCGATTCCTTTTGCCCCGTGCCGCCGCACTGCCACTGCTTGCCAACGCTGTCTGCCGTTCCGGTTCGTCAGCACTCTAATCCGCCATAACCGCCTCTTGCGCGCCACGGCCGTTCGCCATCGCCGTGAAACCTTGAACCCGACTGTGAACCCTGACCCTGCGCAAATGTCCTGTTGCGCAAGGTAGCGCTGTCTTGTAATTATGGTGTCAGTGTGTCAGTTGTTACCACCGTTACAGCCTGCAGGTTAAGGCATCAGCTGGTGCAGGCATGTGAGCAGCGCACATCCTTTTGAGTAATCATGTTATTGTTGTTGTTTGACTGGTCGCTGTAGTACACCCTACCAAACTTTCTGCAATGACGATGTTGATCGTTTTTTTCGGGGTGGACATGTGGTTTGATTTTGCTTTCCGACGCCCGTCTCACGCCCGTCTCCTGTCAGATGCTTGTTGTGCATGTGGACGGCGCCCGGCAATCTACGCAGGGTTGAAAGGACCGACATGTCCAAAGTCAGCAAGTTGTACGATTTGCTGACCGGCGCCGAACCGGTGAGCCTCGTCCGAATGATGGCCTGAGGACTTCGTTTTTTCTTCGTTTTTTCTTCGTGCAACCGCACTTGTAATCCGTTGTAGTGGTAGAACTCCGGCTCGTGCAGCCTTGCATGGGATAAGCGTTGGGATGCATGTGCGAGACCGAGAGTACGATGTCTGTGCAGAGCCCGATCTGGATGAGGTTGCGCAATCTTGTAAAGATAGGAAAATCGGATGAAAGCCTTCCAGGCTGCCCAGGTGGTAGAAAGGATCACGTGTCTATTGTTAGGTATGGAGGGAAGGAGCGAGTGGACGTGGGGGTTGAGCAGAAGAACGCTTTTCATTTCATTTATTGCGTGCTGTTGTTCACAAAACTTCATATCGTTGCAGGGTATGCCGCATAAACTGGTCGCTACAAAAATATACAGAAAATGATGCCGCGCGACCGAAACCTTGTTTCCCAGGGTCGCTTTTCCCAACCGACCCAATCATGCCAGAATCCCATGAAATGTCGTAAAACCTGTTCATGCACGTTTTTCCTCGTTGGTATGAGCTCCGTATGTGTGTGTGTATGTGCTCAACCTCGTATGTATGTGTGTGTTTGTGTGTAGCTTGTGTCCAGCAAAAGCGTCGTAATCAAAGCACAATGTACTCCCCGTCCACGCGATCCATGGCTCTCCTCCACCGGAACGGATGCTGCATGTTGCTGAAAGGTCCGTTCTGCCTCGGTACATGCACATCGCCGTCTGACCATTCGTCGTCTTCGCGCCATACGCGTTCAAGCACTTCTAGACCGCTCAGGTTGTTGAAGAACCCGCTCTCGCGTTGGATCTCTACACACCGTTGTCGTACCACAGCGCGGTGTTCCGGATCAACGCACTCCGTGCCGATAATGAACAATGGCCAGAGTAGGAATTTGTTGACACAGCTGGTGATGCCGATCTGGGATATGTGGTAAAGACCCTGTGATACAAGGTTCTGGAAATTCAGAGTCGAGGCGGGGAGAGTCGGTTGTGCTAGGCGTTCGGTGTAGAGAAGCGCTGCATAGCGGAAACTCTCGCTGATGTGGAGAAGCGCAGCCTGTTCTGGCGACATGGCAAGCATGGAAGACGTTGCCTCACAAGATGTGGAGTGCATGTCGCCAGGTGACGGGAACTCCCATTCTTGGAGCCGAATGCGCAGATCGTTCCACTCGCTCCAGAACTCAGAGCGGGGATCATCGCGTGCAGATGTGAAGGGGTCGACGTGCTCGGCAATCGGCGTTCCCCAGCCATTGCCATCCATATTATCGAAGCTGAAAGAGTAAAAGTCTTTGACTTTCTTGGGTCGGGGAGAGGATGTAGGCGTGTCATCGTTGTCGCGTACCGGTCGGTTCTGACTAAGCAGGTTCAGTCGTCCAAGTCGTGCAATGAGTTTAAACAGTCTGCCTTCGCAGCCAGAATGGTGTTCCATTGCACCCAAATTGGCACTCAGGTTCATCATGTCGAGAGAATCGCCGCGCACTTCGATTTCTCGGTCATTGACTGCAGCAGTCATAACGTCGAACCAAGTGAAGAAAGTCTCGATCCACCCAACAAACTCGGACCGAATTGTCCTGTCGCGAAGACTAAGCAGTTTCTGCACGCCAGCAAGCTGGGTCTTGAACTTGGTAAAGCCGGAATCGCAGACATGGAAGAGACAAAGAATCAGAAGCGTGGCGAGTACGGAGTCGTCCTGCGAACCATCGTAGTCGACAAGCTTCTTGTTGAGGAGGGCAATAGAGTTGGCCTTGTAGTGCTTCTCTTCGTCGGTTGCCTCGCCATGCATCTCGCGTAGCTCTCGTGTCGTCATTTGCGAGTAGGCATGATCTGGTATGAGGCGCGTGTCATGCAGTACACTCAACCGCCGTCCCTCAATACCTCCGCGCATACGCATGTTGTTGGTAGCGAGAGCACCGATGGCGTTCTGCAACTCCTCGTTGCGCATTGCCAGATGTATGATGTGCATCCGGTAAGGGTTCGTATGGCTATCAAAAGCCACCAGCACCGGGCATATAAATTTGTCGTAGTAGTCCAGAAGGGATAGCATCCGCGGGGAAAGGGGCGAAGCGATGGTAAGGCTCTGAGGAATAGAAGTGGTGAGCGACAGTACGTCTTGAGACAGGGGGCCAGAGCCATAGGAAGACATACCCTCCGACGGGAGAAAGGAGAAACCGGGCTGGAATCCATTGAAACTCGAGCTCATCTCCCCCTCAACAAAAACATCCTGAAACACAACAGGGCCCATAGGTTGCGAGGCTGCGCTCACTTCGGGATAGTCATGTATACTCTGATCTGAGCTTACGCTGGAGCTCATGTCGTCACCAGTAGGTAATGAGCGAGGCGCCTCATGGATGAAGTAGTGGTCCAAAGAGCCCATTGGCGCCTGTTCAAATGGCTGGTAGCGTGGTATTGACGGGTCTGCAAACGGAAACTCATCGACGGGTGTGTTGGGGAACTCGCTCGGTGAAGGGAAGTCGCTATCGCTGTAGGTGCCCAGAGATGCCGAAGATGCCGACATGCCGTTATCCTCGAAGGGCACATGGAGAGTGGTTTGCAGTCTTTGGAGAGGACCCCTGTGAGGCTGGTGATGTCTGAACTTGGTGGCTTGGGGATGTAGGAATTCGAAGTGCTCTCCATGATGTTGCATGGGATAGCCCATGGGAGTAGATGGAGTGGGTATGGGTATTGGGCTGGTCGGACTGAAGTACTGGTATTCCTGGGGTGCAGAGAACATGGGACTTGTAGGACTCCTTGGTGAATGTGCACCAAAGTCGATGCTGGCACGGTTGTTGAAGTTGTGCTGATGTTGGTGGTCACTGGTGGTGGAGGTAGTGCTGGTGGAAGCTATCGAGTTCATCCGCTGGGCTTTTGGCTCCTGTGTGGCAGTTGAAGGAGGTGACTTTGCAATAGGCAAAGACATGCCTCGAAGCTTTCCACGGCTGGCTACTCCCACGCCCCAAGTTAGAGTGGTACGGTATCCGGAGCATTCTTTCCCAATGTCGACGCACGGCCCACAGTATGGGCGGCGTCGATCACACTTGACTTGACGTTTCTTGCAAGCAAAGCAGTCGTCGGTGGCTCCAGTGGCAGGAGCTCTTCTTCTTCGTTTCCTGGGGGCAGCAGCGGCGGTGTTGGTGTTGGTGGCGGTGTTGTCGGGTTTCTGGACCTCAGCAGGCTGAGTGGTGTTGGGAGAGACGGCCATGATGGGTGTAGGTGTAATAAAAGAGGAAGTGCTATTGCAGTACTCTACAACGTTGCATCTGCAGGATGTGGATCGTGTATAGTAGGTGTATGAACAGAATAGACAAGAAGACGAGGGGTAATACTCAATGGAGCATAGAAGGTCGGCGTCACGGTGGGTAAGTATTATTTTGGCTCGACGGGTCTGGGTAAAGGAAGCTTGGTCCCCGTCAGATAAGGTCAGGGCCCTAGCTTGCAGGGCTCTGGTTCTGCCAAGATGAAGGATGCAAAATGCCGCGGCATACTCGACGCTAGGATATTAAGAGAAGAGGTGGTCATCTTGAGAGATGTGCATGAAGGATGTGGCCCGCAGCGAGTAGGCCAGGTGCCCGCATGTTCTCGCAGCGGCAGCGAGGCTTTGGCTGTGGCAACCCCTACCACACCCCACACGGTGACGGCGAATTGCAGGGCAGGGCGAGGTAGCGTCGGGTTACATCGTGGAAAAATGGTGGCACCCCGGCAGCAGAGCAGGGTGGATGGCGACAGAGGCCTGCTGCAGGACGGAGAGGGCTGGACGCCACCAAGACTCCACGAATGAGAGGCTGCAGCGCACACGATCTGCTACCGGCCGCTAAGTTCGGAGCAGCTACGAGGCCACAGCCACTGAGAGAGCTTGTGTCGAGGGCTCCGGGGTGAAGGCGTCCAGGGCGTCTTCGGCTCGCGAGGTGCTGCACAGCTGCAGGCGGCCAGCGCTGGCTGCTGCTGATAGCGTCAGGGCCAGCATGGGCAACGTGAGCGCCCGGGCGAATGACCGCACGCAAATGGTCACGGAGCCGACCGAGGCGATCAAGGTGCCGTCGCGAAGACGCATCGAAGCTGTGTAGAAGGGCGCCAGGACAGCCTGGCATGGCTGCGCTGAGGTTTGCCAGTGGGAGCAGGCAGCGACAAGCCGCCCGCTGTGAAGCCTCTGCCAAGGCCAGCCCTGGACGAGTACGTAAGGAAACCAAGGTTAAAGAAACGGTCGCTCATTGACAGGACGACAGGCCAACCCCGCAGCCGACACTGATCTGCCGCAAGGCGCAAGGCATAAGACGCAGCGGATTGGGATGCGTGATGCAATTTGCGCACCTCTGCACGCGAAGGGCACGTCTGACGGCGCGGATATTGCGATGACATCGAGGACTGAGGACACGGCGGGCCCAGGCGTGGATGATGCAGAGCTGCACGCAATGGCCGGGGTGCCTGGCAGTACCGGACGACTGCCAGGCAGTGCCAGCACTGCGCAGCTGTCGTTGCTGCTGTCGCCTGCTCCGCATGCCTCTTGGCAGAACCGTTCTTGTGGGACCCGCTGTGATAACAGCCATGCGGGCCTGATGAGCGCGCGATATGACCATGGCCATCCGACTGCCACCCCCACGGCGACTGCGACTGCACCCAGTCCGTCGCACTCCCCAAACACCTCATGAGCTCATGAGGTCGCCCTCCGCCCTCCGCCCTCCCTCATCGCATCCCCCAACAGCCTCACCCGTCCGGACTAGGCAGTCCATGATGCCGTGGCTGCGGCCGCCGCACAGGTGCCGAACTCCAGCTAGTCCAGCCGTCACCCACCTTATTCGTGTGCGTGCCATCCGTCGTCGAATGGCGTCTTCACCGATTCACACACGCTAGCCTCATCATACCATTGTGCACGTGAGCGCCAAGTCAGACATGCATCGGAGACATGCGCTACTTTGGTATGCTGGCTGCGCTCCACCACTCAACGATTTGTCTCAGGTAACAAGCAGCTTCAACCTCCCGTCAGCAGATGGCTTTTGTGTTGCTAGACAAGGTTTCATTCTCAGACAGGTCGCTAGCCGTCCGTACCTGGGGAAGCAGTTCACCGTCCATGCGCCTGCGCAAATGTGCACACGCGGGGTAGTATGGGGATACGAGCCAGGCCTCGTTTGCCCACTTGGTACGTCTCTCACGAATTCGTCGTGTCAGTCTGCCCTCCTTTGTCCGCAGAAGACCCGCGTAGGGTCTCCTGATTCCAGGCCTTGCTATCGCACCGAACAGAACGGAGAGCCTCACGGATGCCGGCAGCAGGCCTAGCTCCTGCCAGGCTAGACAAGATGATAGGACAGTTGCGGCTTCTCACATTCACTCTCAAGCTCCGGGCAATGTCCGACAATCATCCCACTATGATGCATCAAACGTTCAATGCCTGAGGGTCGGAGTTTGTCCGACACGTACGAGTAGAGCAGCTACGCCATGCTGTGGGACATGTCTCGAAGCGAGCGGGCCATGGCTACTCTTTAAAATCCTCATCTCCGCCCTAGCAATTCTTCCGGCGCCAGGTAGAGTTGTACAAGATCTCCAGGGCTCGCTTCCGGGACCCTCAAATCTACGATGCCCGGCCCGACAGCAGACGTTTCAAAGACTCTGGCCAGGCCGAGGCAGTCTGTATGGAGAAATGCTTCCGTGTTTACATCTTGAAGATCGTCATTTCGCCGGCACTTGGTAGGGAACGACAGAAACGAAGGCGCCCGCAAGCGCTGGATCTTGAACAACCGGCGGCTGCGGTTGGAACAGCGACTAGGGCTCCTCGGACCTCTATTTATGTCTCCACTTGAACCCTGCGCTAGCAACCAGCACCGTCGATAGGACCCGCTGGGTCTTGGGTATTAGCGTCGATATCGTCTGAACGCATCCGGCTCTTGCACACGCGGACACTGCGCTTTCAAGCGACGCAGAAGAGCGGTCTGATGGTTGCGGTTCGACACAATACTGCGTGCAGATCCGCTAGATACATGTCTAGCACGTGAATTGACTATTGGCTGTGGTGGAGAGCGCTTGACAGAGTTTCGGCTCACTAGCTGGAAGCGCCTTAGCTTGCACAGGTAATTTCGACTTCCCACGACGCCATGGAGCTCTCGTGGAGACGAACCTGTGGCCGTCGATGGCGCAATTCAAGTGCACAATCGGAAGTGGGGAGCGAAGGGAGAACTTCCCGAGTATCCCGCCTGCTCGAGAGTCGCGGTCTTTGAGAGACGTTGATGTCAGAGACCGATATCTGGAAGCTTCGTGGTGCAGCGGATGCAGTTAGAGCGTGCCAAGATTTCAGTGAAAGCAGATGTCGTACAGTAACTCCATCTTGCTGGGAGTCGGATGCGATCTGAGATGCCAAGTACTACAACTCGCTTCACGATGCATGAGATGCAATGCTCCACGTTCACGATGCTCGCGTGTGAAATGTCGAAGCTTCTTCCTGGGCAAGGCTGGAGCTCCAAGCTCGGCTCAGCGGTCCATGCATAACCTGATCCCCGCAAACATCAACCCCACAAACCGTCTGACAGCTATGCACGTCATGTCCTACCTCTGAATGCAACCCTGAGTCGCATACTCCATCCACGCAGACTATCGCCATGACCTCAAAGTTCTTCTGCCTCCGTTCAGCGCGTCTCGCTGCGCGTTACCCGTGCCCGCGACGAACATTTGCTTCAGCCGCCTCTAGCCGCGCAGACCACGTTCGCATTGTGGAAGTCGGGCCACGCGATGGGTTGCAGAATGAGAAGCAGACGATACCGCTGGCGACCAAGATAGAGCTGATTGAGAGGCTGGCGAAGACTGGTCTGACCACCATTGAGGCAGGCTCCTTCGTCTCGCCCAAATGGGTACCACAGGTGAGCCAAAGTTGTTGAAGCTGAGGACGTACATACGCTGACCATCAAGACAGATGGCCAATTCGGCTGAGATCCTCGAACACGTCCTCTCTCGAACGCCCCAATCGCCGCATCCGATCACGTACCAATGGCTTCTACCCAACGTCAAGGGCTTCGACAACTTCCTCTCCATGTGGCAGTCCAAGTCGCAGCCAGGACAAGACGCATACCCAACACCGCCATCATCCCCAGGCACGGACAACGGACCAGCCCTGAACACATCCTCCTCAGACCCCAACGCCATGCCCTCCGCCTCCTCCGGCGCTGAAGCCATGAACGCGAGCCGCGACACCCAAGCCCCCATCCACGAACTCTCCATCTTCACCGCCGCAACCGAGTCCTTCACACAAAAGAACACAAATTGCTCCATCGCCGAGTCGCTACAACGTTTCGAGCCCATCATGTCAAAGGCAAAGGAAATGGACCTCAAAGTGCGCGCCTACATTTCTGTCGCCCTCGGGTGTCCCTACGAAGGCCCAGACGTAGATCCACACAAGGTAGCAGAGCTAGCAGTGAGCTTACTAGAAATGGGCGCAGACGAGATATCAGTCGCAGACACCACGGGCATGGGCACCGCACCGAAGACCCTCGAGCTACTCAAGACGTTGAACGCAGCGGGTGTGAACAAGGATGACCTAGCACTCCACTTCCACGACACATACGGCCAGGCGCTCGTCAACTCCGTCGTTGCTCTCGAACACGGTATTCGTACGTTTGACGCGGCGGTGGGTGGGCTGGGTGGTTGTCCGTTCAGTCCTGGTGCGACGGGGAATGTTGCGACGGAGGATTTGGTGCATTGTTTCCACAGTCTAGGTGCGAAGACCGGCGTTGATCTCGAGGGGCTGGCAGAGGTGGGCGAGTGGATATCGAAGGAGTTGGGGAGAGGCAATGATAGTAGGGCGGGTAAGGCGACGTTGTCGAGGTTGAGAAAGGCGAGGGCGTAAAGGGGTTGGATTGGGGGGTTTTTGTTCAAATCGGACTTCTGATTGAGGATGCTTGATCATCTTGATGCAGACTCATGATAGTGGGCCTGCACAGTCATTGCGAGGAGGCTCATTTGAAGTCTCTGGCGCTTCGGAGAAGCCCCCTCGCAATGACTGTGTAAGCTCACTATCATGAGTCTGCATCTGCTGTCTGCCTTTCTGATCTAAGTGGAAAATAGTCTCAAAGTGTCAATACCAAGATAATGAATCAACGTTTCAAATTGATAGCCTGCATATTCAAATGTCGAGGACAAATCGTGCTGGATTAGATTTAGTAGTTGTTGCTGCTGTATGGACTTGTCCGAGATAGCGATGGTATCGAGATGTGGCCACCTAGT